AGCTGGTCTTGAACTCCTGGGCTCAAGAGATCCTCCTGCCTCATCCTCCCAAAATGCTGGGATTACAAGCCTGAGCCACTGAATCTACCCTAAATATTTAATTTTATATATGGGAGGCTTCACTCTTGACCTCTAATGAAGGCCCATAAACTGGCCAGGCACAGTGGCTCACATCTGTAATCCCAGCACTTTGGGAGGCCAAGGCAGGCAATCACCTGAGGTCAGGAGTTCGAGACCAGCCTGGAGAACATGGTGAAACCCCATCTCTAACTAAAAATACAAAAATTAGCTGGGCGTGGTGGCGTGCACCTGTAATCCCAGCTACTCAGGAGGCTGAGGCATGAGAATCGCTTGAGCCCAGGAGGCGGTGGTTGCAGTGAGCTGAGATTACACCATTGTACTCCAGCCTGGGCAATAGCACAAGACTTATCTCAAAACAAACAAACAAGAAAGTTGAGGTGAATACACAGCTAGCAGGTGACAAAGCCAGGATCAAATACAGAATCAGTGCCTGATTCCAAAGTCCACTTTCTTTTTACAGCATTACTCTGCCTCAGTGGTCTCTCAAGGACACACAGAAAAGAGCAGGAGATAGCCTCTACTCTTTAAGGAGGGAAAACAAGGTGTATCTGTCAGGGAAATATGTGTCCTGATTATCTTTCATCTGGATTATGAAAGATAATCTCCTTTACTTAAAGTCAACTGATTATAGAGGTTAACCACATCTACAAAATACCTTCACAGCAACACCTGGATTATTGTTTAATTGAAAACTGGGCATTATAGCCTAGCCAAGTTGACACATAAAACTGACTGTTACACAAGATGCTTGCTTATAAATAACATCATTCTGCCAAAGGTAAAGAAAACCTGGCCGGGCGCGGCGGCTCATGCCTGGAATCCCAGCACTTTGGGAGGCTAAGGCGGGCGGATCACCTGAGGTCGGGAGTTTGACACCAGCCTGACCAACATGGAGAAACCTTGTCTCTACTAAAAATACAAAATTAGCTGGGCGTGGTGGCACATGCCTGTAATCCCAGCTACTCAGGAGGCCGAGGCAGGAGAATTGCATGAATCTGGCAGGCAGAGGTCGTGGTGAGCCGGGATCACAGCATTGCACTCCAGCCTGGGCAACGAGAGTGAAACTCCATCTCAATAAAAAAGAAAAGAAAACCTTCCACATATGGATAGAGCTATAAGCAAACCACAAGTGGGTCCTGCTCACCCCTGTGGGAAATTCAGATCAATCAGGACCTAGAAGATTTGTGACCAGAAAATATGTGCTTATGTTTATAAACTTTTAGCCAAAATGTTGCCCATTTCCTCATTGTGAAGAAAGGAAGAAAACAAGAAGAGTTTGATTTTTTCCAGAAGATGGGGAACTGGTTTGTCAAAATATTGACGGAGTGACTTGTGGCTTCCATATGACAAAACACAAAACACCACACCACCTGGGCACGCACAATGGCTCCTCTCCCTTCCACCGGCCCTGACTACTTGGTCCTTGGAGTAGAATGTGAAGACCCCACTCCTGCAGGAACACAGTCCACCCCACAGAGCCACCTGCCCATCCCTCGGATACCAGCCTTGTAAGCCGCCCTAACTTACTGTTCTCTCGCAGACCATCACCCTTGGCTCAGGGGTAAGGTTACAGGCAACATTCACTGGCACAGAAGGAAGAAAAGCGTTTCCTTCTTGTGAAGCCCAAAGCAGTGACAGGATCATCCTCTTTGCAGAAGCTTCTGGGTAAAGCCATTAGAATTCCCTTTTTTCTGCAGTATTCACCCATCCTTGTGATCAGGCAGAGAGTGGCTTCCCCCACTGGTGAAGACAGTGCCCTTGGAGACTCTTAAGGCTTCTCTTTCAGGTTGTATGTGTTTAGGATGGGAGCAGATGTTCAGATAGAGAGGAGCCTCCATTAGTTATAGGACAAAGACCATCATAAGATGCCCATTAGACCTGAGAGGCCAGTACGCATAGAGACTGATGAAGATGGGTGGTGAGGGAGGTTGTGGTAGAGAGAATGCATGGTATCTCCCCTCTCAATCCCCTATTGGTTTCCAAAAGGCAAAGACTGGACTCATTGTTTTGGCATCAGTAGAAGAGAAAATTTAGATATTTCCAGAAGCAGCTCTGGCTCTAGGCAGGTAGAAAGATCTTGCTGAGCTGGTCTGCTGGAAACATGGGGGTGGGGGCAGCGATTTACCTGTGTGCTCTTCACTATTTCAGTCATCTTCTTACAAATGAAGCAACACAGATGCAAGGTGCTGCAAGGCCCACCTCCTCCTGCTCTGACAGGCAGACAGGAAACCAAAGCTGCTATCTGGGCAGCCTCTGTCCCTCCCATTCACCTCCAGCTTCCCATGTGGACCTTAGTCTTTTCCTTCTTGGATGGTGGAAACTCCTCCAGATGTCAAGACTTGCTGTGAATAAAGTTTTAAGAGGAGGTCATGTATCCAAACTGATACATGTGTATTTCTTCCTGGGTAGAGGGTGTCTACAATATCATGTAACCTGATCATACAATCCAGAAAACAAGGGCCACTTTGGGTCTTTCAGGGACCAGTGTGTAACTGGGGGAAGTTAGGTCATAAGAGCCAAATCACCTTCCCTTGACTGTAGATAAATCCACTAAGGCTTGCCTTATGCTAATGACCTTGTTTTGAATTAAAGTCACACACAATGTTTTCTTTTTTAAAAAAATTCACTCCAACCTTACCATTAAGTAAGTACTACTCCAAAATCCCCACTCATCTGCCAATGGGTGATGCTTTTTCCCCATGATCATTATATATCTCTGCATCCCCACAAACATCCAGGGGAGGAGATGTGGGAAAAGAAGGGCCTGTGGGCTTTAGAGTTATGAGTAAGCATGGCAGGAGCAGATACAGAGGAGGGAAATCTGCCAGCTGCCACCCTTGAAAGCTAGCCCATTTCTTCTGAGCCCACAGCCAAGCAGGCATACCTGGAAGGGTGAGGGAGTGGAGGGCCGGCTTTCACTCTAGATCCCACCTGTGTTCCCACACCCAGAGTGGCCAAGAGCAGTCTCTAAAATACGCCAACCCATGATATCTCAAAAGTAGGAATTCTTGTCTTATGGAATCAGTGAAGCAGGGACTGGTGTCGGGGTGGAATTAAGTCTTCCTTTAAAAAGAAGTTTCAGTGCACAGTTATCAACATCAACATTGTACAAAGAAAATGAGCCTTGCAGTTTAGAACAAAGGGTAGCAAAGTATTCAATCACCAGGCAGGTTTATAATTTTGTTTTGTTTTGTTTTGTTTTTTGAGATGGAGTCTCGCTCTGTCGTCCAGGCTGGAGTGCAGTGGTGGACCTCAGCTCACTGAAAGCTCCACCTCCCAGGTTCACGCCATTCTCCTGCCTCAGCCTCCTCAGTAGCTGGGACTACAGGCGCCCGCCACCACATCTGGCTAATTTTTTGTATTTTTAGTAGAGACAGGGTTTCACCGTGTTAGCCAGGATAGTCTCACTCTCCTGACCTCATGATCCGCCCGCCTTGCCTCGGGCTCCCAAAGTGCTGGGATTACAGGCATGAGCCACCGTGCTCATGCCGTGTGAATTTTTTTTTTTTTTTTTTAATGTTTATACTTTCCTTAATACTCTCTGGGAATAATCTCCTCTGGGACCCCTTTCTTGCCTGTTCTATGTACCTCAGCAGCACAGGAATGAAGCCTCAAAAAATATTATCTTGCTCCCTAAGTCATCAGTTTCTTTTCTGATCTAGTTCTTGGGTAATGAATGAATGTGGAAAGTAGTGAAGGTTGCCATGAAAAGCTTGGACTTTATTCTGCAGATTACCAGGGTCACTGAAAGTGTATGCCTGCATTTTCAACAGGAGTGTCAGGATCCCAGCAGTAATGCTTTTCCATGGATCAGCCAGACAGGCATAATGGAAAGTTGGGAGACCAAAAAAGCCATTGACAGATTCCAGGTGAGCAATAAACCAGAATTTTAACCAACTAGACCAGCGCTGTCCTACGGTGAAGGGGTGGCCTGCCCCTCCACACCTGTGGGTGTTTCTCGTTAGGTGGAAGGAGAGACTTGAGAAAAGAAATAAGACACAGAGACAAAGTATAGAGAAAAAAAAGCGCCAACCAAGGGGACCGGCGCTCAGCTTACAGAGGACCCACGCTGGCACCGGTCTCTGAGTTCCCTTAGTATTTATAGATAATTATCTTTACCATCTTAAAGATAAGGGAGTGGCAGGACAATAGGATCGTTCTTAGGGAGGAAATCAGCAGTAAGACATAAGAACAAGGATCTCTGTGACATCAATAAGTTTGAAGGAAAATCCTGTGCCTTGAGATAAACCTTTTAACAGCATTGTTTCATCCTATCACATGGGGATAAACTTTGGACAAAACCTAGCTTTTCTAGGAACAAAGACACACCCTGCACACCCAAAATCCATTAAACCTTGAGTTACCACAGCACATGTCTCTTGCAAGGACAAGGTTGGGGGTAGGGTCACAGATTAACAGCATCTCAAATACAGAACAAAATGGAGTCTCTTATGTCTACTTCTTTCTATATAGACACAGTAACAGGCTGATATCTTTCTTTTCCCCACACTACGGAAATGTAATGGGAGCCATGTGTTAAAGTTTAAATGTTTTACTAGCCACATTTAAAAAGAACACGTGAAGTTATTATTATTTGTTTTACAGACGGGGGCCTTGCTTTGTTGCCCATGCTGGTCTCGAACTCCTTGGCTCCCTCAAGCAATCCTCCAGACTAGGCCTCACAAAGTGCTGAGATACAGGCCTGGGCCACTGCCCCCTGCCTGAAGTTAATTTTAATAATATATTTCATATAACCCGATATATCCAAAATATAATTTCAACATATAAAAATTGAGATTTTACCTCACCAGTCTTAGATATCCAGCGTGTGGTTTATGCATACAGTACATATCAATTCCTACACTAAATTTTCAGCATTTAAAGGGAAATATGGTCCTGAAAAGAAAACAAAAGCCTGTTTAAGGAGAAAGCATTCCACACTACTTCGGTTTTTAACATAAAATAATTAAAATTAATGTATCAATTAATAAATCAATAGCCCCCGTTGGCTAGTGGCTGCCTTACTGGGTAGACCAAGTCTGGATTGTAAATACATTCAGATGTTCCAAGCAAAAGCAAAGTTCCCCGCGGACGCCCCATTAAGCTCTGGGTTCAGGGAAGCGCGGACCCTGCAGTTCTGGGCGTTTTCACCAGGTAGCGCTCAGAACGCCCTCACGTGACGAGCGTCCCACCCGGAAGCGAAATCTCCTCTTCTACAGAGTTCCTCCCGCGCTTCCTCCATCCGCGGATACACAGAACCTCATCTCCTCCGGTGCTGAAGCCTGCGGCGGGGCAGGATGGGCAGGAGAGCAGAGCCGGGGAGTGTGCGGCGCCGGTGAAGAGCGGCGCGTAATTCCCGCGGCGGGATTGTTCCGCGCCCGCAGCTCCTGGACTAGCAAGCTCTGAACCCCGGCGGCTGCGTGCTTACAGGCGCAGACGTAAGAGAGCCCTCGGCTTAAAGCGCTTCGCCGGGCTAGCGCCATCCCCTCGCCTTCTTCAAGGCCTCCAGGGCTGGGCCCAAGCTCCCGTCGACGGCACCCTGGGCCCAGAGCACTCGCGGGCCCCATCGCCAATGATTCAGAACTCACGTCAGTCGCTGCTGCAACCCCAAGATGTCGGAGACACGGTGGAAACGCTTATGGTGAGGGCACTGCGGGGAAGGGCAGGGGTCCGAACCACGAGCTCTGGCAGGAGAATTCGGGGCTTTACTAAGCCTCGGCGACCCTTTTCCGCGCCCCAAGGTGCGCTCAGGGTTGAGGATGGGGCAGGAGAGGAGTTTTGACTAATGGGATTGAGAAGGGGGCGGGGAGTGAGGAGAGGCCAGGAGCTGCGGGCCAGCCAGGCGCTGCAGGGCCGATGTCCCGGTAGAGGGAGGAATTGCCGAGGCCTAGGCGGGGCGCGTGCCGGGGAGTGTGTCCGCGCGGCCCCCACAAGGTGCGAGTAGGCTGCCAGGAGTGGCGGAGGTGGGAGGGCACCCGGGCAGATTTGGGACCGTCACAAGGCCTGGTAATAGCGCTGAAGCTGAGAAGCCGTTGATGCCGCCGCAAGCTGCCCGGTATGGCTGTGCTCCCGCAGGCCGCAGCGCTAATACCTGCCGGCCAGGCGTGGCGGCACCTCTGAGGGCCAACTTTCCGGTCCGTTGGGACGGCGCGTGGTCACCTGGCGACCCCACGGTTCCTCCGGCGTTCGATTGGTCGCCGTGGCCGGGCCGCCGGGCCGCTATTGGTGGAGGCGGAGGCGGGGCTGGCGGAGTGGTTGCCTGGTGGGTGGAGTCGGGGTGCAGCCCGGCCTTAGACGCTGAAGGCCTGGGGCCCAGGCAGAAGCCGCGGCTCTCCCTCTGAGGTCTTGCGCCCGAGGTAGGGGCAAAATGCGACTTTTTTATTTTTTTTATTTTTTTTATTTTTTTTTATCCTTAAAGGCGGAGACGGCGGCAGTGGCGACTTAACGTTGACGTCTTTGAAAACCTGCTTATCTTTTTCAGGGCTCTCCAGCCCTCGCCTCCAGAAGTGAACTGGACTTAGGATACTTTTATCAGGGCAGTAGGAATTGCTTGTGGATCCAGTTCGCACTCTTATGTGCTACTTATTTCCTTTGTGTGCGTATTATTGTTTTTGCCCTCTTCTTTCTCCCCTTAAAAAGAAACTACTTTTTTATTTGCCTTGAATATCCTTGAGGTGTTGTGGGGTTTTTTTGTTTTTTTGAGACGGAGTCCTGCCCTGTCGCCCAGGCTGGAGTGCAGTGGCGCCATCTCGGCTCAACTGCAACCTCTGACTCCCGGGTTCAAGCATTTCTCCTGTCTCAGTCTCCCAAGTTGCTGGGATTAGAGGCGTGAGCCACCACGCCTCGCTAATTTTTGTATTTTTAGTAGAGGGGGTGATGTTGGCCAGGCTGGTCTTGAACTGCTTACCTCGAGTGATCCTCCCGCCTCGGTCTCTCAAAGTGCTAGGATTACAAGTGTGAGCCACCGCGCCCGGCCTTGAGCTACTTTTTGAAAATTAAGTTTACTTGCAAAGGATGTGTGCCATTCACCATTGACAAAAATCTTAAGACCATTCAATATTACCTGTTGGAATGGTTTTTGTTGTTGTTGTTGTCTTGTCTTGTTTTTGCCTATTAGAGGTTGATCTGTACTGCTAGTATAAATAACATCTGCTCTGTGCTAATGGACTTGGAAAAGTACAAAGTAACATGTCTAATCACTGTGCTGTGAAATAAAAGATGTTAGGAAGATATTTCCTGCAATCAAGGGTGGGAAGGTGAAGGACAGCAGCAAATTTGTTTTAAAACAAATTCCACACAACACCTGTGTGAGCACTGGGGCAGCAGCCCCTAGAAGAACTGCCCAGAAACTGTAACTGCAGGTCATTCCTATGGCCTTGTTGGAGCAAGAGGCCTGGAGAGAGGTGGAGGAGATTAACCTATCCTGGGATGAGCCATGCAGGACCCACCGAGCCCTATCCTGTGGGATTGCGCTCAAAGGGAGAGCTTTAGGTTTCCTGTTAGGTGGCAAGATTCATTCTGTTGTCACTGCTGAACACCTACTGTGCACCAGGCTCCAAGGTCAGTTCTTGAGATATCACCATGAACAAGACAGGCAGGAGTTGTGACCATTCTGTCTTGGACACACAGTCATAAGGGAGCTGGGGACAGGTGCTGCTGCAGAAGCTGGAAGGAGAGGCACTGAACTTGGACGTGGGGGAGTTGGGGAGCTAGAGGGGAGCTAGGGCATAACTACATGTCAGTTTTCAGAGGTGAAAGTAAGGTGGAGTCCTCCAGTATGGCTGCAGAGTGTGTTAGTGGGAAGGTGAGAACATAGGCCAAAACAAAACAGTAAGCAGGAGCCCTGTGATACATGAAAGGCCTTGCAACCAGCAGTTTGGACTTTATCCTGAGAGGAATATGAACCAATTAAAGGGTGTTGGTTTGGTTGGGCTTTTTAAAATTATAATTCAATGAGTATTAATGACAAATTTGTGGGATACTCTGTAGCTCCTAATACGTTTGTCATTACTTGTATTTTTATTCCATCTTTTGTTTTTTTTTTTTTTTTTTGGTCTTGTTTTTAAGCTAGTAACTTCAGATTTCACAAAACATTATCTTTCATTGAAGGGTTTTATTCCTGAAAGCAGTGTGATCAAATTTGCAGTATTAAAAGCTGACTCAGGCTGGGCACAGTGACTCACACCTGTAATGCTAACACTTTGGGAGGCAGAGGTGGGCAGATTGCTTGAGTCCAGGAGTTTGAGACCAGCCTGTGCAACATAGCGAAACCCCATCTCTACAAAAAATTAGCTGGGCATGGTGACACACACCCATAGTCCCAGCTGTTCGTGAGGCTGAGGTGGGAGGATCACCTGAGCCTGAGAGGTCATGGTTGGCAGTGAGCCATGATTGTGCCACTACACTCCAGCCTAAGCATCAGAGCAATACTTTGTCTCTAAATAAGTAAATAAATAATTAAACAAAAGATGACTCTGGCTGCAGGGTAAAGAGTGGATTAGAGGGGTCATATAGATGACAAATGAGTAAAAAAGTAATGGCAGTCACCAAGGCAGGAGATAACAGGGTTCTCAGCTGGAATGGATTGGTGGATTTGAGAGCTGTTTTGGAGGTAGAGTGAGCAAGTGTGGAGAGGCCAAGTCCAAGGATAGTGCTCAGGTTTCTGGCTGGGTGGCTCGAGAAATGGCAGGGCATTCACTGGGACAGGGCACCTTGAAGGAGGAGCTGGTTGGAGGTGTGGGAGAAAAGTTCAGGTTTGGAAGTGTCATCTGAGGTGGCCGTGGGACATCTGAGTAAGTGACTGTGTCAGACTGAGCTCCAGTGAGAGGTTGAGAGTGTGGAGGGGGGTGGAAATGGAACCCCTGGAAGTGGATAAAGAGCCATGGAAGTATGGTTCATTTAAGGGAGAGGCCAGAGAAGTGGGAGGAAAACCAGGACAGTATTAATCTCTGAAGCCAAAGGAAGAGAGCATTGCAAGGAGGGAGTGATGGTGAATAGTGGAATGCCCTGAGTGGCCTAAGTGTCCTGGATTTTCACTTTAGACTGGGTGGTATGGTGAAAAGAGTATGAACTTTAAGTCCTGGCCAGTGGCTTCAATCCCTGTGACATAGGACACATTTGTAACTTCTGTGAGCTCCAGTTTAATCTGTAAAACGAGTTTAAAATACCTAGCTCATAAGATGCTATGAGATTTTGAGGTAGTGTCTATAGATGCCTTGCCCAGTGCTACTCTGGGAGTAGAGTTGAGGGTGGGTTGGCATAGTTGAGGTTGGAGACTGCTGCAGAGGTCATTAGGATGGATCAGTGGAGGCCAGACTGGGAAGACTGAGGGCTTGGTCAGTGGGACTTGGTCATGAAGCAGCAGGCTGGTGAGTTTTATGTGTCTCTGAGGTTTCCAACCTGGATTCCTGGAGTATCCCCGTGTGGACTGGAGAAGAGGCAAGTGCAGAAGAACTGTTGACCAGGTTTCCATTTTGGACATGTTGAATTTGAGATGCCTGTGGGCCATTTGAGGGAAAACAAGGAGACATTAGCAGAGTCCGGGGAGAGGCTGACCTGGGCTGGTGATGTGGGCGTAACTAGCATGTGTGTGAAGCCTGGGTATGGGTGAGGTTACTCTGAAAGGAGATAAGAGGAGCAGTCCTATGTGAAGGGCAGGCCAAGGAGGAGAAGGAGAGAGAAACCAGAAACTGCGAGGAGAGGCACTCAGCCATATGGCATGTACCAGAGAGGCCAAGTAAGATAAGGACAGGGACAGGAATGGGGTCCTGGGGTGCAGCAGGTGCTTGGTGAGCCCTCAGAGGCTGTGTTAGTGGAGGAGATTTAGCTGGATAGCAAACCGGGGGGGGGCTGCGGAGGGACTGGCACAGAGCAAGTGGAGATGGTGTAGCATCAGGCTGGAAAGATGGACGCTTTGGAGCCTGTTGCCTGGCAGAAGAGGAGATGCCAGTGGGAGCGAGAGGCCCAGTGTGTGAAGAAACGGGGCTTATTAATGCCACAAAGTCTTGGGAGAGACTAGAAACACAGAACTCATAGGAATATTGGTTGGCAGAACAGCAGGACACCTCTTGGGGAGAGGGAGTCGATGTGGATACAGACTTGCTGAAATATGCACACCTTACTTGGTTTTACCTGTTGTCTTATCAGACTACCCTTTGGTACTTCAGAAGTTATTGGATCGTGGTTGTAAACTCCAGTTTTTAATGACCTGACTTAGTTCCCCCCACCCTCTGCCTCCAACAGTCTTATGAGGAATTCCAGTTATAACTGGCGCCTTTGGTGGAATTTGAGATGCACTCTCTTCTCTGTTAAGCAAATACCGCAGATTACACACATTTCAGTTTCAGGTAAATAGTTATGTGATGTGTATAATGGAAACTTTATATATATTCATCTTAATGTTTTAGGGCCACAAAGTATCATTTATTTAAAAATAATAGTGCAGATGCCACTTAATAAAGGAAGTCTTTGGGGATGAATTTGCCAAGCATTTTCGGAGAAGATAGCTATTTATTTATTTATTTATTTATTTTAGGGAAGGGGAAGTAAGGGGAAGAAGGTCACTGGTTGGATTTTAAGTACTTTTTCACAGTCATTTGTGATACTACTGGGTTCTAGGGGTCTACAAAGAGGATGCTGTCCTGTAATGGTAACGCCGGTGCTGGAAGCTGCGTCTCCTGGAACATGCAGCTCCTGGAACCCGCTTAAGGGAGATGCATTTAGTCTTTGAAGGAGTTCCACCCTTCCAGGTGGTGTCTGTAGATTAGCCAGTGTGTATGATGATTCATGGGTTGAAGGAGAGGCAGCAAAGCCAGGAGAGGCTACTGGTCTGTAGGACTGTGTGATCTGTGTAGGGCCCAGTGAGCTGGATGGTTTAAGAGAAGGGGAAAGTTTTAAATGAAGGAAATACTAGGTTCTACAGGAAGTGGCACTTAATTTTACACAGTGGTTGAGCTTAAGGTTTCATTTGCTTTGGCTTGGTCCTATAAATTGTTTTGGTCCTATAAATACCTATAGGTCTTACAGCGAAGGGAGCCTGCACATCATCAGTTCAAAGTGAAAGCACTACATTCAATTGACTTTGCTTTTGCAAACATAGGGAGATGACCAGTAACTTTTTGAGTCAGAAGAAATAGGGAAGAGCGGTCAGTGGCATGGAAATAGTTTTACTCCCACTGAGCAATATGTGTATCAGCAATACTAAGACCAGAGATACCTCTTGCAGCCTACAGTGTCCTCAACAACGTTCCAGTATTTTAAATTTCTGGCTATACTTTTCCCTTCTCCGAGGTATGAAGAAAACATGAAGCACCACCAGGTAAGTTTCAAAGAGACCATTATAAAGGAATTCGCTGATCAGGTGTGGAGAAAGGTGAGGCTCACACAGGCAGAGCTACTGACACAATATTGTCTTGTCCTGCAGTTACATCCAGTGATCAAGGCTTTCCTGTGTGGCTCCATCAGTGGGACCTGTTCTACCCTCCTTTTCCAACCTCTGGATCTCCTTAAAACACGCCTGCAAACCCTCCAGCCCTCAGATCATGGGTAGGCCCTGCATTTCATTGGGGGAGCTGATTTCAGCAACTTCTCAGACACAGGAATATCTCTACTGTGTTAAGTCAACTTCCATTTTGTTGGATGTTCAGAGAGAAACACAGGCCATGCCCAATCATATGTTCTCTGAATTGTTTTTATATTTGACATTTCTTTTTAATTAAATGGGGTCCTTTCCTGAGCAGCTTCCTGGAATCTGCCTCAGTGACATTTACACTTCATTGTGTTAGCTTGTGTTATTGTGTTATAACTAGATTGCCTGGCATTAGAGTAGCAGGGGATTTTCTGGAAATAACATCAGTATTATCTGGGTTTTTTTGTTTGTTTTTGTTTGGTTTCTGAGGCAGAGTCTCGCTCTGTTGCCCAGGTTGGAGTACAGTGGTGCAATCTCGGCTCACTGCAACCTCTGCCTCACAGGTTCAAGTGATTCTCCTGCCTCAGTCTCCCAAGTAGCTGGGATTGAGGTGCTCACCACCATACCCAGCTAATTTTTATATTTTTGGTAGAGATGGGGTTTTGCCATGTTGGCCAGGCTGGTCTCAAACTTCTGGCCTCGAGTGATCTGCCCACTTCAGCCTTCCAAAGTGCTGAGATTATAGGCATGAGCCACTGCACCCAGCCTGTATTGTCTGTTTTGTGCCTGGATATTGAGCTCTGTGCTGTGGGAAGTATGCAAAATGTACATAAAAAAAGGAGGTAATCCCACTCCTTGCAGTATAAATGGATAAGCAAATATGTGTGTGCCAACCTATGAACACATAGAGTATCTCCAAGGTGCACTGTAGAGATTGTTAAGTGTCCTAAAAATGAATCTATAAAGGAAGTCTTTGAGTGGGAAATTGTTTTATGAGGAAGTGATCTGAGTGATTTTTTCCTTCCTGTCTCCATTTTGTCTGCTTTCAGGTCTAGACGTGTTGGGATGTTGGCTGTACTCTTGAAGGTGGTTCGCACGGAGAGTCTTTTGGGCCTTTGGAAAGGAATGTCCCCTGTAAGCTGCCATCTGGATCTAGGTTCTCTTGCACCCACTCCTTGATAACCAGCCATTTCTCATCCACCTTACCAGCTCTTAAGAATATATGAGAGTCAGAAGTGGTGGGAGTACCTACGTGATCTTCCTGCCCATCTCTCATACTACCACTAACTTCAGTTTGAAGGCTCAGGGATATGTTGCATCTGCACATTATGCTTAGATGTGATTTATTAGGGCAGCATAGTCTCTACAGCAGAGGTACCTAATGTCCCACCTGTCAGAATGCCCTTGCCCTAATCGCTTCAGTAAAAGTGGGATGGTACCTCCACACCAGCATTTATTTGCTCAAAGGCTTTTTCTGGCCTTAGGGACCCACATCAAGGAATTAGTGCCCAGCCCAAACCCAAATCAGAAATCTATATACTGATTTCTCTATTATCCCAGTAGTGTACTTCAGAATAATTTTGTGTTTTGTTTTCAAGAGTATAGGCCAGTTATATAACTCACTGTGGGTTTCTTTGCAGTTTCTTTGTGATTAGATTTAGTTCTACATTTTTAGCAAGGAGATCACAGAAGTGATATTGATTTCCTAACCCAAAGCAGTGTGTATTTCCAAACCCACAGAGTCCTCAACCACTGAAAGACGAGAGTTGGTGTTTAAAATCCCATGTCCCTCCCCGCTCAGTTGGAGGAGTAACTCTGAGGTGTGTTCTACACTGATTCCCAGAGTTCCTCAGTGGGATTTAGTTGCCCATAGAAGCAACTGGCTTTATAACATCCTTTATTGACTGCCTTCTCTCCTGTCTTATGTCCCCCACTTCCCTATTGGTGTTCCTTCCACACCTTAAACAAAGTACTTACATGCGAATCATCTTGGGGTCTTTTGGGAAAACCCAGCTAAGACAATACTTAAAGTGTTTGGTCTTTGATTTTCTTTTCTTTCTGACCTTCTCTGCAGTCCATTGTGAGATGTGTCCCTGGCGTTGGAATCTACTTTGGCACTCTCTACTCTTTGAAGCAGTATTTCTTGCGAGGCCATCCCCCAACCGCCCTGGAGTCGATCATGCTGGGGGTGGGCTCTCGCTCTGTTGCAGGGGTCTGTATGTCACCTATCACGGTAATCAAGACGCGCTATGAGGTAAGTTCAGACTGCTTTAGGGCCTCAGGATAGTTCAGCTTAGCCATTGGGCTCCTGGGGAGTGACCACCAATGTCAACTCCTGATTTGTAATCTAACATACACTCTGATGTGGTCAGCCAAGCCATATGTGAATTAGAGCCCACAGTAATGCCCCATAACCTGCAGTCTGCTTGTTCAGTGCTCAAATGGAGCGCCTCCATGTGAGTCACTGGTTCTGTGCTCTCTTTGCAGAGTGGGAAATATGGCTATGAGAGTATCTACGCTGCCCTGAGGAGCATCTATCGCAGCGAGGGGCACCGGGGCCTCTTCAGTGGCCTGACAGCAACTCTCCTTCGAGATGCGCCCTTTTCAGGAATCTACCTGATGTTTTACAACCAGACCAAAAACATAGTGCCCCATGGTAGGGATAAAGCAAGGTGTGGGAAAGAGCTATCCTTGAGCTATCAGATCCTCACCGTTTTCTCTGGGATATGGGACTATGTGTTTCTCTTAGCAGAGTGTTAGGAACTGAGCCGTATCATGATTGTGTCAGGAACTGGGATGCAAAGGTGGATATGACAAACTTGATCCCTGCCGTTTGGAGTTTACATCCTATTAAGGCACACAGTATTTACACCACTATAATTTGGGGGGTGAAGATAGGGTGGGTGGGAAGGAAATAAAGCATGCTTTGCAGAGTTTCTGCAACAATATTTCCCATATTTGATCTTAAGATTGCTGGGTCCCATCCAAGGCCTCTTAGATGAGAAACCTTGGGGTACAACCTAGGAATCTGTATTTTTCAAGAAGCACTTGATGTGATTCTTCTTAAAGTCTGGGAAACAGTAGTAAGTTAGGAGTTTGAAGAAAAATAATATTTTCATCTCCCTTGCTGTGTTCCCAGTTAACATAGTTTTGAGCCCTCCATTTAGGTAGAGAGGAAGGTGCCAAACTTCAGTCACTGGGGGAGGCCCACCCCACCCCACTCCACCAGTTAGGTCAGGTTGGGCTAGACATGAACAAAATTGGTGGACAGTAAACATCGACCCAAGTAGAACAAGGTATTGCTAGAAACACATCCATAGAATGAACCTGCATACAATAAAGTGTCTATGGATAATTTGAGCAAGGAATTGCAACCAAGGTCCTTTAATTAGGAATGCCAGAATGCCCGCCATCATGACGTGGTAACCAGTTACAGCTGGAGTGCCTTGGGAGATTTGCTGCTTCTACCCAGGCACCAGAAGGTGTAACCCTGCAGGTCAGAGCCTTATTTTGTGACAGAAAATTAAGGCGATAAGGAAGCATAGATGGGCAATTTTTAACTTCTCAATCCATCTTTAAAAATTTCTGAGGCCCATCACTCAAAATCAGAATATCAGAATACGGACTGTAGGTTAAAGAATTGGGCCACATGCCTGTAAATCCCAGCACTTTGGGAGGCCGAGGTGGGCAGATCTCTTGAGGTCAGGAGTTCGAGACCAGCCTGGCCAACGTGGCGAAACCTGGTCTCTACTAAAAATACAAAAATTAGCTGGGCATGGGTGGCACATGCCTGTAATGCCAGCTGCTTGGGAGGCTGAGGCACGAGAATCACTTGAGCCTGGGAGGTGGAGGTTGCGGTGAGCTGAGATCACACCACTGCACTCCAGCACCGCAGCCTGGGTGACAAAGCGAGACTCCGTTTCAAAAAAAAAAAAAAATCGATCTGGTATTTGGAAATAAACTTGCAAAAATAGCCACAAGAATAGTACAATGTACATATTTTTTTCCTGCCCTTTGAGGGTAAGTTGGAAACGTGATGCCCTTTTACTTTTGAGTACTGCAGTGTCTATTTCCTACGAATAAGGACATCCTGTCATATAACCATCTTAGGAAACTCAGGAAGTTTAACCTAGATAACTTTTTTTTTTTTTTTGAGACAGAGTCTTGCCCTGTCACTCAGGCTGGAGTGCAGCAATGTGATCTTGGTTCACTGCAATCTCCTCCTCCCTGGTGCAAGTGATTCCTGTGCCTCAACCTCTGGAGTAGCTGGGATTACAGGTGCATGCCACCATGCCTGGCTAATTTTGTATTTTTAGTAGAGACAGGGTTGCACCATATTGCCCAGGCTGGTCTTGAACTCCCAGGCTCAAGTGATCCACCCGCCTCGGCCTCCCAAAGTGTTGGGATTACAGGCATGTGGCCCAATTCTTTAACCTACAGTCCGTATTCTCATTTCTCTTTAATTGTCCCAATAATGTACTTCGTAGTAATCCTGTGTTTTATTTTCAAGAGTATAGGCCAGTTGCATACCTCATTGTGGGTTTATCTGCAATTTCTTCTTGATTAGATTTTTAGCAAGAGGACCACATAAGCGATGTTGTATCCTCATTGCCTTGTATCGGGAGAGTCGTAACATCAATTTGACCTATTATGAGTGATAGTAACACTTTATCACTTGGATAAGATACTGACAGGTATCTTCCCGGAAAAGTCACCTGTTTTTCCCATTGTAATGTCTAAGTATCTTTGTGGGAAGATAACTTTGAATCTGTATAAACATCCTTTTTCCCACGTTTTAAAATCAGTCAATGATTCTTGCCTGAGTCAATTATTGTGATGGTGGTTTGAAAAAAGTGCTTTTCTAACTCCATCATTCCATCTACATAAATTTACTAGTTGCACCTTTAAATTTTCAATCTGTAGCCTTATTTGAATCCAGACCTTTCTTGGTTTGGGGAAGAATTAATGGGCAACTTGCACTGACCTTTATCTGATTAATGTAAGATCCATAACCACATGTTACCTTTGTTCTATTTCAGACCAGGTGGCTGCAACCCTTATTCCTATTACAAATTTCAGCTGTGGGATATTTGCTGGTATTCTGGCCTCACTGGTAACTCAACCTGCAGATGTTATCAAAACTCATATGCAGCTTTACCCACTGAAGTTTCAATGGATTGGTCAAGCAGTGACACTTATTTTCAAAGTAAGACTACAGAATAAGTACTGGTTCTTGTGGTGGTTAAGGATCTCTTTCTAGAGCAGTAGTTCTTACCCTTCACTCACATTAAAATTGCCTAGAGAGCTTTAAAAAGTCCCCATGCCCAGGTTAAAATCTAGGCCAACTATATCAGAATGTCTAGGGGCATAAAACCCCAGCATATTTTTTCTTCTTTTTTTAATGTTTCCCAGTGATTTTAATATGTATGTTTTAAGGTTGAGAACCACAAAACTGATGTTTTTTTGAGGGGCAGAGACATTTACATTAGGAACACCTGTGATATTTGTTAAACATTGCAGATTGCTGAACTCTACCCCAGACTTACTGAATCAGGAAATCGGGGTGAAATTAGTACTCTAATTGAGGACCTAGAGTACCTAGGGTAAAGTACTATTTAGTCAGAGGGTAAAAAAAACCACACAAACACATTGTTTTATTCTAGCAGTTTGCTCTAATATACAGGTGTCCAGCCCTTTGACTTCCCGGGGCCACATTGGAAGAAGAATTGTCTTGGGCCACACATAAAATACACTAACACTAATGATAACTAATGAGCTAAAGAAAAAATGTCACCAAAAAAATCTTAGAATGTTTTAAGAAAGTTTACGAATTTGTGTTGGGCTGCATTCCAAGCTGTCCTGGGCCACATGCGACCTGTGGGCTGCGGGTTGAACAAGCTTGCTCTAATATAAATGGACAAATGGTATTATTGAAGATAAAAAGTATGGTAGAGGCTGGGTACGGTGGCTCATGCTGGTAATCCCAGCATTTTGGGAGGCTGAAGCAGAAGGATCCCTCGAGCCTAGGAGTTCAAAACCAGCATGGGCAATGTAAGGAAACCCTATTTAAATTTTTTAAAAAAATTACAGTAGCTGTATACTATCCATAAGCCACTGGGTTGGCTCTTTTAGAACATGTGTACATGTGTTGTTATCACAAAGCAGATATTCTTGCTAAAGGTAAATGTGAATTTGTGTGTTTTTTTTTTTTTTGTTTTTTTTTTTTTTGAGATGGAGTCTGGCTCTGTCGCCCAGGCTGGAGTGCAGTGGCCGGATCTCAGCTCAAGCTCCGCCTCCTGGGTTTACGCCATTCTCCTGCCTCAGCCTCCCGAGTAGCTGGGACTACAGGTGCCCGCCACCTCACCCGGCTAGTTTCTTTTTTGTATTTTTTAGTAGAGACGGGGTTTCACCGTGTTCACCAGGATGGTCTCAATCTCCTGACCTCGTGATCCGCCCGTCTCGGCCTCCCAAAGTGTGTGTTCTTATCTCTATATCTAAAATCATAAAGTTTTAAAATAATATTTTCTATGTGAAATTTCAAATCAACCCAGATTATGAGGGAGGAGGAAGGGGCATTTTTTCTTTAATTCATATGAAGACAGGGCCACCAAGAGCACACAGTGAATTACAAAAGGATACTCCCTTCTGATAGACAAATGACAAGAAGGCACCTTTTCCTTCAGCCTGGATCCAGGATCGCGGGCTTGGCAAGCAGGTTTCTGCCTGGATTTCATTTTCTACTTGGGGCTTAGTGCTTCTGTACAGTATACAAACTGCATAAGTACACAGCAACCCTGCATAAAGATTTTCAGCTAAGAAATTCCCCTAGAGCAGGCCTAAAAAGGTAAGCCCAGCAACTACAAAAAAAAAAAAAAAAAAAAGGCTTCTGGCCAGGTGCGGTAGCGCACGCCTGTAATCCTAGCACTTTGGGAGGTTTAGGTGGGCAGATTACAAGGTCAGTAGTTTGAGACCAGCCTGGCCAATATGGTGAAAACCCCATCTCAACTAAAAATACAAAAATTAGCCGGGCGTGGTGGTAGGCGCCTGTAGTCCCAGCTACTCGGAAGGCTGAGGTAGGAGAATTGCTTGAACCCAGGAGACAGAGGTTGCAGTGAGCTGAGTTCACGCCACTGCACTCCAGCCTGGGTGACAGAGCAAGACTCTGTCTCAAAAAAAAAAAAAGAAAAAACACTCTTAAGTTCTTTGGTTGTGTTCTTGGACCCATTATTCTTACTTTGGGCATAAAGTTTAGAAACTAAGTCTTAAACATGGGGTAACAGAGACCCTCACTCTGATACCAAGTGGATAATTAATTGTATTGCTACTTCGCTTCCAGAGTTTTGACATTTATTTTCACCACAGGACTATGGACTACGTGGCTTCTTCCAAGGTGGCATCCCCCGAGCCCTCCGCAGAACTCTAATGGCAGCAATGGCGTGGACAGTGTATGAAGAGATGATGGCCAAGATGGGCCTGAAGTCCTGACCAACAGAGGACTGGGAAAGGGTGAAATCTATTGCCCTGCTTGGTTTCTGCCAAGGGCTGCTGCTGCTGCTTACTATTCTGCAGTAAGATGACGTCCTACCTGGAAAGCGAGGCAGAAATTGTGTTGCCTTTGCCTTCGGTAATCCCTTTAAGGAGAAAATATATGGACCTGATTTGAGCCTTCAGAATCTCCAAAAGAGATGTCACCAATACATAGAGCACACTGGGGTGTTAGGAGAGACCTCTGCATACCCTGAGAGGCTACTTGGAAAGGCATTTTCCCAGGAGAGCTCTGTTAGGTGGCTGCACTTCAGCCCTGCACCTACACCACAGTGTCTCCTTGGGTATGTTCTTGGGCAAGGAATCTCAAAGCCAGAGAAGCTGTAAGCTGCCTGCCGGGCCTGAGGAGCTCCAGCCAGGGAAGACTGGATGTGAGGAGACGAGTCACTGTCACCAGGTCACAGAATGACTGAGGTGATGGTAGGATGAGAGGAACAGATGCCCTTCTTTAATTGGTTCTCAATCAACTTCTCAGAGGCTCTGGAGAATGGGACAGTGGCTTTCTAGCCTCTGAATGTCCAGATAAAATTTTTTGGTCTTGGCCCCTGTACTGTTTTACCTCTAAATTCTGGCATTTTTTTTTCCCTGCAATTAAAGTGTTTTACTTTATTTATTGAACTTTATCATTGAAAGCTGTTTGGAAAACCTAAAAGGTGTTGTCACAGTTCTTTTTTCTTTACCTGTGCCTTGTAAAAATGGACTGAACCCTTTTCTAAAATAAAATAGTTCTAGGGTGGCTGGTTCTTGACCTATGTAGGTCCCTGAAACCTAATTTCTTTTAAGAAAAAAACAGCTTTACTGAATTATACGACCACTACTATAAATCACTTTAAGAACATTTTTATTCCCCAAACAGATCTCTCATGCCATTTGTAATTAATCCTCATTCCCAGCCTCAGGCCGCCACTAATAGGCTTTCTGTCTTCATAAATTTGCCTTTTCTGGATACTTCATATAAATGCAGTCTGTAGGCCACGCGTGGTGGCTCAAGCCTGTAACCCCAGCACTCTGGGAGGCGAAAGCGGGTGGATCACATGAGGTGAGGAATTCAAGACCAGCCTGGCCAACATGGTGAAACCTCGTCTCTACTAAAAATACAAAAATTAGCTGGATGTGGTGGCACGTGCCTGTAATCCCAGCTACTTAGGAGGCTGAGGCATGAGAATCACTTGAACCCAGGAGGCAGAGGTTGCAGTGAGCTGAAATCATGCCACTGCACTCCAGCCTGGATGACAGAGTGAGACCCTGTCACCTGGATGACAAAGTGACTATACCATTTTCCATTCTTAGCCACAGTATATGAGAGTTCCAGTTTCTCCACATCCTTATCAACACTTGTTATTATCTCTTTTATAGCTATTCTTACTGTGTACTCAAATCTTTTCTTTAAAATTCAGGAAAGATGGCCAGGCACGGTGGCTCCTGCCTGTAATTCCAACATTTTGGGAGGCTGAGGCAGGCAGATTACTTGAGGCCAGGAGTTCAACATCAGCCTGGCCAAAACAGCGAAACCCCATCTCTACTAAAAATACAAAAATTAGCTGGGCATCATGGGGCACACCTGTAATCCCAGCTACTCAGGAGGCTGAGGCAGGAGAATCACTTGAACCCAGGAGACGCAGGTTGCAGATCACGCCACTGCCCTCCAGTCTGGATGACAGCATGAGACTCTGTATCAGGGGGAAAAAAAACCCAGGAAACAGCCATTACTTTATACAAGAAGCAGAAGTTGGGGGGATATTTAGTCTTGTGGTTAAAAACATGAGCTCTAATCCATGCAGCCCAGGTTGAAAGCTCTTCGCTCTCCACTATTTAGGCATGGTACTGAAACTGCCTAGGAAATGGGGTTAGTTTGTTTTGAGGGTTTTTTAGGGGGCGGGGAACAAAGTGTGGTTCTGTTGCCCAGGCTGGAGTGCAATGGTGCAATCTCAGCTGACTGCAACCTCCGCTCCTGGGTTCAAGCAATTCTCTCACCTCAGCCTTCTGAGTAGCTGGAACTACAGGTATGCGCCACCACGCTGGGTTAATTTTTTGTATTTTTTGTAGAGACGGGGTTTCACCATGCTGGCCAGGCTGGTCTTGAACTCCTGACCTCAAGTGATCCACCCACCTCAGCCTCCCAAAGTGCTGGGATTACAGGTGGGAGCCAGTGCCCCCAGCCAGAAATAGGGTTAGTAATGTTTACTGCCTCAGGTGGTGGTGAGGGTTAATGAATAAATGTTTCTGAAATGTGGTATTAGCTTCATAGGACAGCCACAACAAATTGCCACAGTCTGAATGGTTTATAACTCTCAATCTGGAGGCCAGAAGTCTGAAATCAACGTGTCAGCAGCATTGCACCTCTGAAGGCTCAAGGGGAGTCATGCTTTGCCTGTTGCACCTTCTAGTGGTGGCTGGCATTCCTTGGCTTGTAAATATATCACTCCAATCTCTGCCTCTGTCTTCACATGCCTTTTCCCTTGTGTATGTTTCTATGTCCAAATTTCTCTCTTAAGGACACTAGGTATTGGCTTAGGACTCATCCTAATCCAGTATGATTTCATTTTAATTTGATTACATCTGTTAGACCCTATTTCCAAATAGGGTCACATTTGCAGGTATTAGGGGTTAGAACACCAATATATTTTTTGGGGGGACACAATTCAACCCATAACACAGATTAAGTTGATGTATAAGTTAAAATGTTTATACTTTAGGTTTTAGGTTAAAACACCATATTTAAAATAGTAATTTGGGTAGAGGTATGGGAAAGGATGAAGCAGGGTCCTAAGCTTATAGTGGCACACAAGCCTCCAATGCTGTGACCTGTGTGTTGTGAGGCCTCGTGCTGTGGGAAGCAGGGGAGGTCAGGATGGGAAAGGAGAGAAGGGAGGACAGTTGGATGGAGTGGCTGCTTCTTAAGAACTTAGACTCTAGAGCAGGTGTTCCATGTCCCTTGCCTCCTCAGCCTCGTTTGACTCTCATCCTGAGTGCAGGGAACCTAATGCCAGTGAGGCCTCTTAGGGAGGAGGGACAGAGATAAGGCCGAGAGAGATGGGCTTCTTACCAATATGAATTTCCTGGCCTTACATTGGCAGGTGAATTTCCGCCACCAGATTCCCCTCATATTTTCTTCATTTGTTTTTTAGGGGAGCAAATAAATATGATAAAATCAGGAGAAATCATCTAGTTTTCTCTAAACATGAGGTAGAAAATTTGTCTTTGTGAATCCCAAGTCCTGTGGCAAGTAGCCTGTTGTTTCCTCTCTCACAGTCTCACTATTAAAGTTCGGAAGGGAATTGGCTAGTGACCATTAGCTGGCTTTGGAAACATTGCCCATTGCCTTTTTTTTTTTGTTTTAATGGTTCCTTCTTGGCTGCCTTAGACTTAAAGCACATTAGAGGTGGGGCTCTGTGGGAGGAAAATAGTCATATGGTGACTAAAGATAAGGCAGTGTAGGGCTAGAGCCAAAAGAAGACACAGAAGCAAAGGTTTCAAGCTATATTACACTCGCTTTCTAAGAATACATGATTATGAAATCTTTCAAGCCATCACAATAGGAGAGCCAATGGTCTACTGGCCCTTCATTCATATCGCTCAGATGGAGCAATTGCCAAGATTTTGTCACACTTGCTTCTCTCCCCAAACTCTGTCCCCTGCACCTGCCACTCCTTTTTCGTTTTTTTTTTCTTTTTTGAGACGGAGTCTCGCTGTGTTGCGCAGGCTGCTGGAGTGCGGTGGCGCGATCTTGGCTCACTGCAAGCTCCATCTCCTGAGTTCACGCCATTCTCTTCCTCAGCCTCCCGAGTAGCTGGGACTACAGGCGCCCGCCATCATGCCTGGCTAATTTTTTGTATTTTCAGTAGAGATGGCGTTTCACCATGTTAACCAGGATGGTCTTGATCTCCTGACCTCATGATCCACCTGCCTTGGCTTCCCAAAGTGCTGGGATTATAGACGTGAGCCACCACGCCTGGCCTCCTTTTTCTTTTATGAAGCTTTTAGAGACAGATCCCAGACATCACATCATTTCACCCTTGCATACTTCAGTATGCATCTCTAAAAATTATGGACTTTTTTTAGCATAAGTACTATGTCACTACCCCACCTGGAAAAGTTTAACACATTTTTTGCATATCATCCATATTCACATTTCCCAGACTGTCTCAAAAATTACAGTTGGTTTATTTCAATTAGAATTCAAACAAGGTCCATACAAGGCATTTGGTTTTTTATTTATTTGTTTTAGAGACAGGGTCTTGCTCTGTCACCCAGGATGCAGTGCAGTGGTATGATCATGGTTCACTGCAACCTTGAACTTCTAGGCTCAAGCAATCCTCCCACCTCAGCCTCCCAAGTAGCTGGGACTACAGGTGCATGCCACCACACCCAGCCAATTTTTTAAAATTTTTTTTGCAGAGACAAGATCTCGCAATTTGCCCAGACTGGTCTCAAACTCCTAGCCTCAAGTGATCCTCCTGCCTCAGCCTCCCAAAGGGTTGGTATTACAGGTATGAGCCACCACACTTTGCTGGCAGTTGGTTTTAAAAATCTCTACGCTGGGCACAATGGCTCATGCCTGTAGGCCCAGCCCTTTGAAAAGCCAAGGCTGATAGATCGCTTGAGCCCAGTAGTTTGAGACCAGCCTAGGCAACATAGTCAAACTCTGTCTCTACGGAAAAATAAAAAAATCAGCCAGGTGTGGTGAGACACATCTGCAGTCCCAGCTACTCAGAAGGCTGAGGCAGGAGAATCACTTAAGCCCTGAAAGTGAAGTCTGCAGTGAGCCGTGATCAGGCTCACTCCAGCCCAGGTGACAGAGCAAGGCCCTGTCTCAAAAAAAAGAAAACAAAAAAAACCAAAAACTATTCCAGGACACCACCATTCTCCCCACTTTTGTTGTTCTACATTGTCTTTGTAGGGACTGAGGGGATGGGAGAACAAGACAAAGTTAGAGGAACCTTGATTCTGAAGCAGCGTCTAAGGCCTCTCTCTAGGCGTATCAAAGGGCCAGTCTTTGAGGTAATGCTTTCTCAGCCCCAGTATCCTGTAAAATGTCCTATTTTCTGAGTTTGTTTTCTGATGATTTTAGCTCATTTCTCCGTTTCACACATGTTCTGTAAACTGGATGTTACCTTGGATGGCTTCATTACATTTAGGTCTATCCAATTTCTGAGACAAAGGAAAGACCAGAGCTATAGATTCTAAGCGATGGAAAGTCTAAAAAGACATATAAGGGTTTCTCACTTAGCAAATGTGAGTGCAAATGAAACGTTCGATTCACTTCATTCAGTTGCTTCCTCCCAAGAGAAATGAGGAGAGGCTGAAATTTCTTTAACCAGCAGTTTGAAAGGATACATAATTTTGAGGCAAACTGAGGTTAGAGTGAGTCAGTTCTGAGGGCCCAATCAAGACAGGGAACCCAGCAGTGACTCTGGGAGGTTGCAAAACTGAAACCTGCTCACCAAGGTTATGCCTTATGCCTCTTCCATATACTTCTGGCTGAGCAGTGTGCATTTATAACTTGTTGGTTTTTTTGTTTTTTTTGAGACAGGGTCTCACTCTATTCCACAGGCTGGAGTACAGTGGCACAATCTCAGCCCATTGAAGCCTCTACCTCCCAGGCTCAAGCAGTCCTCCCACCTCAGCCTCCCAAGCAGCTGGGACTACAGGCATGCATTACCACACCCAGCTAATATTTTTGTATTTTTAGTAGAGACAGGGTTTTACCATGTTGCCCAGGCTAGTCTCGAACGCCTGGGCTCAAGGGATCTGCCCACCTCAGCCTCCCAAAGTGCTGGGATTACAGGTGTGTACCACCACGCTGGGCCTTCTAACTTATTGTTGATATTAAATGTAATAACCAGGCTGGGCGTGGTAGCTCACGCCTGTAATCCCAACACTCTGGGAGGCCGAGGCAGGTGGATCACCTGAGGTCAGCAGTTCGAGACCAGCTTGACCAACATGGTGAAAACCCATCTC